AATCATTGTGAAACCGGACAATGAATGGGCCTGGGCTGCCTGTCACTACTTGAGCCAATTAAGCAGAGACAAGGTTGAATCATGTATGAGTGTTTCTTCTAATAATGCCGGCAGCATGGGAGAGCAGCAGGTCATCCCCAGAAATCTGCTCTTACCTCCCCCTCCCCCTCCATAAACTAGCTGATTATTATGGGTAGAAGGACAAAGATTACATGGGAAAGTAGGACTTACAGGCATGGGGAAGTGGGCAAGGTACAATGGCTACAGGTCACAGACCGGGTGGGCTGGGGCTCACAAAGGGCAGGAACCTCAGGGACAAGATAGTTTCAGCAACAAGGTTGTTAATCGTTCCATGGTGATGGGCAGTTCTCGGAAGAGGAGAATGGACTGCATTCTGAGGTTAGCTCCCAGGTCCCGGGGCCTGTAACGCTCAGCCAGGTTCGAATGTGCTTTCTCTAACGAGAACTGAGCAATCACAACGAACAGAGCATGATTAATATTTCTTATAATAACGTTAGTCCCCACTATTCTATTTCTGCCCATGACATTCCCACTGCTATTTCTATCACCTCATATCTATGAGGTGAGTTTTAGGTAAAAAGTCTCGTCCTGCTGGACTGCATTTGCTTCTGCCTTGAAAGCAGTTCGTGGGGATGGGATAGAGCGAACGCAAGATCTGGAAAGAGGAAGACATGGGAAGGAGGATGTACAGTTAAGGGAGTACAGTGGGGCCTTGACTTACGAGTTTAATTCGCTCCGAGACCGAGCTCGTTAAGGAGCTCGTTAACTCAAATTACTCTATCAACTCCATGCAAAAAATCTGCCGAGAGACAGCTGGTATCTCAAAAAACTCGTTAGTCGGGACACTCGTAAGTCAAGGCCCCACTGTACTGATTTTCTGTTCTCTGCGGACACAGGTGTAGCGGATTCAGGCACCTGTGTGGCTGGCTCACATTTAGCGAGTGACTCCCGTACCCCTGTGGTAGGTGTTAGGCTGTAACAGTGAGCAGAGACACCGTGCCTGCCATCATAAAGCTAAATGAAGCAAGGCCGACAGCCAGAAAACAACTGCCCAGAAGACAGTATTACACATGGTAGTAAGAACACATTTTAAGGAGGACGTGAGATTGGAAAACCACGAGGTGGAGCATCCACTTTAGACTAGGTGCTCTGGAAAGGTCTCTGGGAGGAGCGGGCATTCACTGACATTTCAGTGAAAGTAAAAGAGGAAGGAGCAGCCATATGCGTTGGGAAGAAGGCCGTTTGAGGAAATGGAAGAAGGACCCCCAACCCCGAGGGACAGGAAGGCGGTGCTGTGGAGACGGCCCACAAGGAGACCAGAGAAGCGTGGGGCAGGGGCCAAATCATGCAGAGTCTGGGATTGTTGGAGTCCTGCTTCACTCCACACCTCGCTTCTTCGCATTCCCACGTCTGTATCCTCAGACCTCAGTCACCCAGCACGTTGCCAGCAAGAGCCAGGCTTGCACCCTAAGAGCTGTCTGCCCGGAGACCACAGCCTCCAGTCCTGTTCCTTCACTGTCTTCATGTCTCCGTTTCTCCACGGAAAAATCCTTAATGTCATTTTCCCCAAAGCATGTGCCTTTCATTGAACCACAACATGAGGCTTAAAAGAGGGGCTATCATCCCTCTCCATCTTGTCTCTTCTTTCTCCTTCTTTGCCTGGGCCAGGTGAGAGCGAGGGAGCCCTCCACATTTGGGGCAATAGACCATCATGAATAAAATGTTGACCTCTTTAAAAAAATAAAAAGGTGTCTCACAGGGTTGTTATGAAGCTCCAGCCACTGCGGCTTCATTACCCACCTCATTTTTGCAGAAGGGAGGCACCTGGGCAGGAGGGAGGCTTTGGGATGGGAGCAGGTGCAGCGAGAGCTACCAGCCCTTCATCGTCTCCCCTCCCTCCCGCCTCCCCCTCCCCAGGAGCCTCCCCCTGGCTTTGTCCCTGTGCTGATTATTGCTTTATTACTGTTTTCAGTCAGATATAATTCTGGCATTTTCTATAATCTCGATCTTTTCATTGATACCAGATTTTTATACAAAGATTTGTATATAAAATGATTATGTACCCACCAGCATACATTCCCCCAGCAATTAGAATGTTTAAGATGCAGCTCCTCACACTCCTTCCGCACATGCCTCATTTAGTACTTTTTTGAAAGTGTTTTGTGATTTTTGTGTGTGGATGTGTTTACAAATCCAGTAACAATTCGCATTTAGAGTTGCAAAACACGAAGCCATTTTGAACCCAGACAGATGGCAGCTAAATGAAGTTTAATTAAAGAATGAGTGCTTTGAATCAAATCCCTTTAAAAAGTACAGTACACTGAGATTCTGGGGAGGCTGCATAAACAGCATCTGGCTGTTCTGCTGGAAGCAGGGGGTGCTTGCGAGGAGAACACTCGGGAAGCCGACCCCATCGGATCCGGGCTGAGCAAAACAAGCGGGCGGGCCGGCGGCCAAGTCGTCCTCTAGCCTCTGCCCTAAGCCCGGACACCTCCGCCCCCAAAGCCCAGAGCTCCCGGGACAGGAGGGGAAGCCGACGCAGTTCAAGAGCTCTGACCCGGGTGGGGGGATCCCCTTCTAAGTGAATGGAATGAGGCCGGGCCCCAAGGCGAGGAGGTTTGCTGCACCAACCCGCTTAATTGCACGCGTCCATAGTGAAAAGAGACCAATGTGTGTGTGTGGGTGTGTGTGGGGAGTGGGGGGGGGGGGGGCTCTGCACTCCACGTCCCTGGATCGGTGTCCAAGGCTCTTCCTCCGAGCTCCCCGCCCCCCCGCCCCGCGGGGACCCACTTCCGGCTCTGGCCGCGGATCTGAGCGTCGGGCGGAGGCGGCCAGGGTCGGTAGACTCTAGACGACGACGGAGAGGCGCCAGCCCGCCGGGAGGGTTGGGGGCGGGGTAGGGGGGGGAACCCCAGGACGCCGCGGGAGGCGGGTGCCCAGGCCGCAGCCGCTCACTGAGTGGTGACTGCCGTGGGGAAGACGGGGGACAGGCCGTGGGATGCGGGGCAGGGGAGCGGGCAGACCAGGGGGAGCCTGGAACGCCGGGGTGAGAATTTGCACTCGGTGCTGTGGGGTCGGAGAAGCAGGGAGGTTTTAATTCAGGGACCGCCAGGGTTGGACGGGTTGAAGGCAAGGTGTCAGCTGCTGGGCTGCCTTTATTTCATGGGCAGTTTCTGCCTTGAGGGTGGTGGTCGGTGTCGGGGGTCGACCTCCCCCTGATCCTGGAGAGAGAAGACCTGGGCTTGAGGATGGAGTGGGGGCCCTGGCGAGCCCGGAGCCACTGGGATGTGGGAGGGAGGTGGTGACCCCGGCGGAAAGAGGAATAGTTTGGGGGGGGTTGTGCCAAGCTTGTGGTCTCTGGCTTCTTCCATCATCTTTCCGGGAGGAAGCGGAGTCCGGAAGGCTGGGAAGCCTTCCCTCCCAGCTCGGGGCTGGGCTGACCCAGAGGGCTGGCAGAAGCTACTGGGCTGTTTGGATCATGTACTCAGCTGACTCCAACCCAGTTCCTCCAAGTCCTAGGCCTCTTGCTGGATCTTGGCTGGATCTATGGTCACCCTGACCCCTCCACACCCCAGCGCTCCAGACCAATTGACCTTCGAGTTCTGTTGGCTGACCTGGTTATTCTCCCACCTGGCCAAGCCACTGCCAGCTCTTGCTGGAAAAACTGAAGAGCCTCCCATGAGGTCTTCCCGCTCCTCTCACCTCTGACCTTTCCTCTCTGCAGGAAGGCGGACCCTTAAAAAATGTGGTTCTGGTCATGGCTCTCCCCCTGCTCCCCTGGTACTCCCAGCTCTGCCTCCCTGCCCTTCCCCCATAAGCCTGGGAGAAAAAGGTTGAATCCTGGCCCCAGAGTGTACTGCTGGGCCACCCCTCAGTGCAGCACCGTGTTCACAGCCTGCTGCCTGCCCCCACCTCTATCTCACCTCCTGCCACTCTCCTCCAGCCCCCTGCTTCAGTGACTTCCTGTTCCTGGAAAGCCGGGGTTCTCAGTCTGTCCTCCCTGCCTTTGCACATGGGCGCTCTCCTGGAACACCATCTGCCCTCCTCTCCCCATGTTGTCCCGCCAACTCATGTGCTCCTCAAGCCTCAGCTTCAGGGACTGCTTCCTGATTCTGCACTAGGGAGGTCGCCCTGCCTGTGCTCCCAGGTACCCTGCCCTTCCTCATCAGGACCCTCCGCTCACACGCCCACCTTCCCCACCAGGAGTGAATGAGCAGCCCCAGCATGCCAGGCCCTAGGACTGGTGTTTCTGCCTCTAGTCTGACCCCGTCTCCCACCTTTCTATCTGCCATCAAAGCAGTCTTCCTGAGACGCGAATATGACCCATCATTCTGCTGTTCAAACACCCTGAACTCTATAGAAAACCCACCCTACCCTCCAGGCCCAACCCAAGCCCCTTCTCCAAGATGCCCTCCCTCCAGCCATGGAGAGCCCACACTTCATGATCATACTTGGCAAGTTTCTCTTCACCCGAGTTATTGGGGCCAAGACAGCCCCCTAGCACACTGTGCGCTTGGGGGCTGGTGGGGCACTTGGCCTTCCAAGGCCCCTCTCCCTGAGGTCAGGTGGGCACAGCAGCAGGAAAATGGAGTCTGTACCCAGACACCAGAGCCCAGTGGTCAGGGGCACCACTACTACTTTGGCAAGGAAGGAGGGTGTTGGCAGGCCATCTGAGCAGGGTTTCCTGACCTCGTTCTAGGGACGGCTGCAGCCGCGATTCCAAAAGAGAAGACACAAAGGCATTTTTTTTTTTTACTTATTTAAAAAGGCCTTGGTGGCAGGAATATAGTGTAAAAATCATTGGAAAAACTAAAAGGCATTGATACATATCCGAATATACACTTTGTACATAAATTACATTTCCTTTAGTCTTTCTGAGTGAGGTCCTGATTCAGCACTGAGGTCTAGTCATTCAGAGGTCCCGGCAGCTGCAGGTTCAGGCCGGCATAGTCCACCATGTACATTGGCCATTGCTAGAGAGAGGGGGACAAACGGTCCCGGTTAGGATGCCCGGCGACGTGGGAGGAACACCAGAGCCCTTAGCTCCGCTTTCTGAAGGGCTTCCTCGATGCTCTTATTTTGAGGCTGCTGAAGGCCCAGAGAGGAGACATGGCCCGCCCAAGGTCACACAGTTCATCAGTAGCCATGGAACCTGGGCTGGAGCCTTCTGACCTGTTCCCACTTGTGTCTCAGGGACTGATCGCGTGGACCAGGCATGAGGGCCAGAGGGAGCTAGGGATTGGCTCAGAACTCCCATAAACAGCCCCCTCTGGGCCTCACGCTCCCAAGAAGCTGTCCTGGGGGAGCTAGTAGCCCTCTGTGGGCACTCACATACCCAGGAAGTGAGAAAGGTAAAGCCTGAACTCTGGGGTTTTCCAGGAACGGAATGAAGGGAAACATGGTCAAAGGGTAAAGAAATCCTGAAATCTCTAAGGAAAAAAATTCTATAACTATGTCTGTTAACTACTTATTGTGGTGATCATTTCACAATATATACAAATATTGGATCATTATGTTGTACACCTGAAACTAATATAACGTATGTCCATTGCACCTAAAACAAAACTCTTTTCTAAATGTGTTCCAATATTCTTCCCATTCGGACTCAGGATTTCAAAGGTAATATTTTGAAATCAGAAAGAACTCTCCAGCGTATGCCCCTAACGAGGTTTTCCTCTTGGGTGGGAGAAAACCAAAGCCAGACACATCGCAGAGCAGGCAGAGCTTTGCAGGAGGTTCTCCACCCACCACTGACGGTAGTGAGGCCACAATGGATAGCACCCTCATCTCCCAGGGCTGTGCTGGGCCTGGAGCTCGAGATGTGAGTACAGAGATTAGCTTAGTATCTGACTGGCCCAAAAAACTGGGCCTCTGCTAGGGATCCTGCTAGGGAACTGCCCAGGGGAGTGGACGGGCTCTTTTCCTCTCTCAGCCTTGGCTTGTCAGTGGGAAAGTGATTGTCTGCCGGGCAACTGTGAGGTCCCGATGAGAGGGGTGGACTACCTTGTGGGTAGATCAGGCAGTTGTGTCTGCAACCCCGGGCTGTGGAGCCCACTCAGAGTCCAGTGCCTCCCCGCACCCCAAACCCACACCCCACAGTGGACGGCCCTGCCCGCGTGCAGGGCGAAGGCCAGAAAGTAGAGTGGTCAGGTCCAGATCTGTGCAACTTTACCACGAGTGAGATCTGGTTGGTGGATGCCACGGACTCCGGGTTGGAGGACGAGGAAGAGGAAGACGAGGAGGAAGAGGAGACCGAGTTCCCTTCGGAGACCCGCTTCCTCTTGCGCTTGGGGATGCTGCTGTCTTTGGCTGTGGGAGGAAAGGTTGCTGACGCTGGGTGCTAAGACTGTGTCTTGGCTTTACCATCCCCTCTGGAGAGGACCTTTGTTTCAGGTTTAAAGTCCCCTTCTCAGCATTCAAAGCTCCCAACCCACCAGAGGCCCATCTCTCCAGCCTCCTTCCCTAACTAGGCCTTGCAGCCCATTCGTCCACCTCCTGCTCCTGCTTACCGGTCTGCCTTTGCTAACACTATGTCCTTACCCCCAGGCAGGCCTCCCCAGAACTCCCAGAATTCCCCTGGGGCCCAGAATCCCATGGTGAAGAGCACAACCTCCCGTGGGCATTGGGGAGAGTCATTACTAGGTGTACCGGTTACTAATGCGGATTTTTTTCAAACGATGGAGTTACACATATATTGATACATATGCGATTTGATATGCATGCTATTTTGTTGTGACAACAAGCTTCAAAACTTCATATGTCAAATTTTCTGAAGGTGTTAACATAGATATTTTTACACTTAAAAATGTTGAATTTCATGCCAAAAAAAAGAGCATTTGCGGAAAGTTTTAATTCATTACTTTATTTTGAAGAAAAGTGCTGCTGAAAGTTATCATATACTTCGGGAAGCTTATGGTGAACATGCTCCATCTCAAGATGCTTGGGAACGCTGGTTTAAATGCTTTGAAAGTGATGATTTCAATGTGAAAGACAATGTCCAGGTCAACCGAAAAAGTTTGAAGACCAGCAATTACAAGCATTATTGGATGAAGATGTGTGTCAAACTCAAAAACAACTTGCAGAGAGATTAAATGGTGCTCAGCAAACAATTTCCGATCATTTACAAGCAATGGGAAAGATTTTAAAGGAAGGAAAATGGGTGCCACATCAACTGAACGAAAGCAAATGGAAAACCGAAAAGTCATCAATAAAATGTTGCTTCAACGGCACGAAAGAAAGTCTTTTTTTGCATTGAATTGTGACTGGCGATGAAAAGTGGATTTATTTTGAGAATCCCAAATGCACAAAATCATGGGTTGATCCAGGTCAACCATCAACATCGACTGCAAGGCCAAATCGCTTCGGAAACAAGATAATGCTCTGCGTTTGGTGGGATCAGGAAGGTGTGGTGTAGTATGAGCTTCTAAAACCAGGTGAAACTGTTAATAGTGATCACTACCGACAACAAATAATTAATTTGAACCACACTTGCATCGTGAAACGACCAGAGTGTTCCAGAAGACACGGCAAAGTAACTTTGCTTCATGATGACACACCATCACACACTTCAAAACCAGTTAAAGACACGCTAAAAGATCTTGCCTGGGAAGTATTAACCCACCCACCATATTCACCAGACCTTGCTCCTTCAGATTACCACTTGTTCCGATCCATGGCACACACACTTTCTGAGCAGCACTTCAAAACGTAAGAAGAAGTGGAAAATTGGGTCTCTGAATGGTCTGCCTCAAAATAAGAAAAGTGCTATTGGGACTTTTAATAATTATTAACAGGTTACTAATACGGATTAACTATTAACCGGTTACTAATACGGATCAACCATTAACCGGTTAATAATGCGGATTTTGTAATCAAAGAAAACAAGGTAATTTCAAGAGAAACATCAAAAGTGCTTTACTCAAAGTAATGTCCATCGCTAGCTACACATTCTCCCATCTTTCAGGTAATTTGTGGATACCGTCCCAATAGCACTTTTCTTGTTTTGAGGCAGACCATTCAGAGACCCAATTTTCCACTTCTTCTTACGTTTTGAAGTGCTGCTCAGAAAGTGTGTGTGCCATGGATCGGAACAAGTGGTAATCTGAAGGAGCAAGGTCTGGTGAATATGGTGGGTGGGTTAATACTTCCCAGGCAAGATCTTCTAACGTGTCTTTAACTGGTTTTGAAGTGTGTGATGGTGCGTCATCATGAAGCAAAGTTACTTTGCCGTGTCTTCTGGAACACTCTGGTCGTTTCACGATGCAAGTGTGGTTCAAATTAATTATTTGTTGTCGGTAGTGATCACTATTAACAGTTTCACCTGGTTTTAGAAGCTCATACTACACCACACCTTCCTGATCCCACCAAACGCAGAGCATTATCTTGTTTCCGAAGCGATTTGGCCTTGCAGTCGATGTTGATGGTTGACCTGGATCAACCCATGATTTTGTGCGTTTGGGATTCTCAAAATAAATCCACTTTTCATCGCCAGTCACAATTCAATGCAAAAAAAGACTTTCTTTCGTGCCGTTGAAGCAACATTTTATTGATGACTTTTCGGTTTTCCATTTGCTTTCGTTCAGTTGATGTGGCACCCATTTTCCTTCCTTTAAAATCTTTCCCATTGCTTGTAAATGATCGGAAATTGTTTGCTGAGCACCATTTAATCTCTCTGCAAGTTGTTTTTGAGTTTGACACACATCTTCATCCAATAATGCTTGTAATTGCTGGTCTTCAAACTTTTTCGGTTGACCTGGACATTGTCTTTCACATTGAAATCATCACTTTCAAAGCATTTAAACCAGCGTTCCCAAGCATCTTGAGATGGAGCATGTTCACCATAAGCTTCCCGAAGTATATGATAATTTTCAGCAGCACTTTTCTTCAAAATAAAGTAATGAATTAAAACTTTCCGCAAATGCTCTTTTTTTGGCACAAAATTCAAAATTTTTAAATGTAAAAATATCTATGATGTCAACACCTTCAGAAAATTTGACATAAGAAGTTTTGAAGCTTGTTGTCAATACAACGAAATACCATACCTATCAAATCGCATATATATCAACATATGTGTAACTCCATCTATTGAAAAAAATCCGCATTAGTAACCGGTACACCTAGTCAATGTCCCTGCACCTTCCTTTCCTTGCCAGTAAAATGTAAATAAGACTCTTAAGGGCTCCTTGGATAGTCCTGTGAGATGAGGTGCCTGGCCTCTAGTAAATACTCAGAAACGGAGAATTGGTATCAATATTATTGCTACTCTTCCTGCATGACGACCCGAACCTGACAGATGACTGTTCACAGGTAACAGGAGACAAGGCAGTGCTCCAGTGTAAAAAGAGCTCCGGTTTCGAGCCAGAAGTCCCAAGTTTAAATCTCACGGCTGCCACTTACCACCCGTGTGACCCTGGGACTCTGACTAAGCTCTCTGAGCTGAAAGGGGACAGCAATGTGCTGCGAGACTCCAGAAGATGGTGTGTGAAAGGGCCCAGGACCAAGCCCGGCACAGAGCAGGCCTCAGCAGGTTCTGCTGCTGCTGAATTAAATTGATGTGAGGATGTAAGTCTTATAAAAAAAGATCTGCAACTGTGTGCTACGTAAGTGGGGCTTGAGGCTTGACTGAGTCACAGGGTACTGAGTAGAACCCTACTACAGCCACCAGAAGGGTCTTAATGACACAGTGTGAGGGGAGGCTGGGCCCAGGGCAACTGCTTGTCCAGCTGGTGAAGAAAAACCAAGACGCCAAAACCGGTTTGGCTCAGTGGATAGAGCATCGGCCTGCGGACTGAAGGGTCCCAGGTTCGATTCCGGTCAAGGGCATGTACCTGGGTTGCGGGCACATCTCCAATAGGAGATGTGCAGGAGGCGGCTGATCGATGTTTCTCCCTCATCGATGTTTCTGACTATCTCTCTCCCTTCCTCTCTGTGAAAAACCAATAAAATATATTAAAAAAAAAAAAAAAAGAAAAAGAAAAACCAAGAGCCTGGGGGTCTGTGATGTGATATAAATAGAGACCCCAGGAAACAGAAGACTGTTCCCTGGAGAAGTACTTAGTGGGAGGGATACACTTTTCTCTCCATGGCCAGCCACCTGTTGCATGCCACCTGCTCTATGTACACAGATGGGTCCCTGCGAGGTAGAAGGGTGCCTTCTTCAGCCTCTGACTTACCTGGCACCTTGGCGTCATTGCAGATTTCTGCAAAAGGTCTGAAAAAGAAAAGAGGTGGCAGTCAGGAAATGAGGTTTTTTTCTTTTCCTTCTCACCTGATACGCCCCGAATCTGGACATCTCTTATATAAATAATGTGAGATGAGATGCCACCACTGCTGCTGGGCGTAGCCAGGTAAGACCCAGCCAGTCTGGCCTCTATCTAAAGTGCCGTGTCAGGCAAATGGCCCCTGGGGGCCTGGTTCCCCCGTCTATAAAGCGAGGGTATGGTCTGACCCAGTGATCAGAAATGTGTGCCTCGGTTTATGTAAACAGATATTCATTACAGCATTATTTTATTTATTTATTTATTTTACAAATCTTTTATTTTTTATTTATTTTACTTGCAGCATTATTTATATAAACCAAAAAAAATTTAGACGCCACTCAAATGTCCATCAGTAGAGACAGTATGGCCCATCGTACAGTCATTAAAGGGAATTATCATGGACACAAATAACGCTCAAGTGCAACCACGACAGCCAGACAGGAGACATCAAGTTTTATTTAGGTTACAGATAAATACTGTGTGACCTCAGTTTCATTTTCTCCAAAAGCATGTCTGAGAGGTATTAAAAAAAAGGGGAAACATGGCTGGAAAGCCCCTGCATGTCTGTGGTGTTTTCTCGGGGAGGTCAGCCTGTGGGGGCGGGGGCGGGGTGATGGGCATTTTCTCCTACGATCGCCTATATTTTCCAGTGGTTACGTCAGGGGGTGGGGGAGAATGGAAACCACTATTCTTCATTGGAGACCTTTCTGAATGATTTGATTTTTTTGTACACATTCAAATATTATTTTATTTTTGCCGAAACCGGTTTGGCTCAGTGGATAGAGCGTTGGCCTGTGGACTGGAAGGTCCCGGGTTCGATTCCGGTCAAGGGCATGTACCTGGGTTGCGGGCACATCCCCAGTAGGAGATGTGCTGGAGGCAGCTGATCGATGTTTCTCTCTCATCTATGTTTCTAACTCTCTATCTCTCTCCCTTCCTCTCTGTAAAAAATCAATAAAATATATTAAAAAAAAACAAAAACAAATATTATTTTATTTTTAAAACTGAAAAGGAAATATGCGTAGGGGAAAATATGGAACACACCACAATGTGAACTCTGAAGAGGAGAGTTATGGAGTATCTTCTTTACTTCTACCTTTTTAGATTACCCTAATTTGTTTTTAAATCTGAAAATAATCAAATAACTATTCTATTTAAAATATTATAAGGATACTAGTGGCCTGGTGCATAAAACTTGTGCACATTAAAAGGGGATTAATTAGAGTAAATATTTTAAAATTGCTATTTGCCCTTTCTCTATAATAGAAGTGTCAGAGATGAAAGAAAATTAGTAAAATGTATATGAAAATCTCTTCCCCCTGTCAGAGTCTGGGGTGCACCACGGGATGCAGAGTCAAGTCCCTGCCTACCCATGTGCACCTCAAAATCACACGAGACCCAGACACGGCTGGCTCCCCCCAATTGGGCTAGATCCAGACCCTGCCGGTCCCACCCTTGTCAAGTCCCGCTGGGCAGGGGGCGCAGCCTTAGGTCCCCTGGCCTGGTGCCAGGGTGGGGAATGTGGCCTGAGGTCCTGCAGCCCAGGCCGGGTTGGGGGGCATGCCTTGAGGTCCCCCATCAATCCTTGCCAGGCGGGGGACACGGCCTGAGATCCCCTGTCAAGCCCCGCCGGGCAGGGGGCGTGGCCTGAGGTCCCCCATCAAGCCCCGCCGGGAGGGGGGCACAGTCTCAGGTCCCCTGTCAAGCCCCACTGGGTGGGGGGTGCGACCTGAGGTCCCCAGGCCCGGGGCGAGGGGAGCAGCCTGAGGTCCCCCGGCCCAGCACTGGGGCAGAGACAGGGCCTCAGGTCCCCAGTCTTGGAGCTGGGGCGGGGGGTGTGGCCTGAGGTCCCCCAAGCCTGGCACTGGGGCCAGGGGTGTGGCCTGAGGTCCCCTGGCCTGGCACCGGGGCAGGGGGTATGACCTGAGGTCCCCTGTCAAGCCCCACGGGGGCGGGTGGGGTGGGGTCGGGTCAAAGCCTCAGGTCCCTGCTGATTGCTCGTTAAGGCTCGTTACGGGAACTTGGCCTCCCCTGTGGGTGCAGCCATCTTGTGTTACGACAACCGCCCCCTCCACTGTGAGCGCCGCCATATTTGTGGCGCAGTGATGGTCAATTTGCATATTCCCTATTTGTTATATAGGATATGGTAAAATATGGACAAAAATAAAAATAAAATCTCTCTGGGTAATGAAAAGACTGTTATTGTATAAATACCATTAAAATGGGTAAAAATTAATGATAGAGTCAGAAAGTCAAATTTAATTAAAAATTTAAAAATAAACAAACACCCATAACTGTTGCGGCTGTGTTTTAGCAGAAAGGGGTTGTAATCAGGACACCTGGTGATATAGACTAAATATCTGTGTCCCCCAAATTCAATGTTGAAACCTAGTCCCCAAGGTGACGGTATTAGAAGGTTCACGAAGGTGGAGCCCTGGTGAATGGGATGGATACCTTAAAAAAGAGGTCCCAGAGAGCTCCCTTGTCCCTTCCACCATGTGAGGACAAAGGGAGAAGATGGTCATCCATAAACCAGAAAGTGGGCCCTCACCAGACACTGAGTCTGCAGGCACCTTCCCAGCCCCCAGAACTACGAGAAATACATTTCTGTTAAGCCACCTGGTCTATGGTATTGTTACAGCAGCCTGGACAGGCTAAGATATCTGTGTCTGGAGTCAAGCTGACTCATACTGACTTTCACCATCCCTTTCCTGATCTGGGTACCGGTTTTCTCAGCTTTAAGATTCGAGTGTTAAGCTAGCCGCATTCTGGATTCTGTGCAAGTGCATGATGGGTCTCTCAACCTCCCTCTCCCCTTCCCCAGTCTTGGCTGGGCCTGCTTGGGGATTCCCCTCCCGGATCCAGGCAGCACCCTCTCCCTCGGCCACTCTCCCCACCCTGCCCCAGGGCTGGGGCACTCACTGGAGCTGGTTGATGATGACCATTCGGACATGCTCCCGGGCCTTCAGGATCTTCTCCAGCCGATGGATGTCGTATGTGTTGGGGTTCCGGAAAGGGATGTCATCAGGCAGGCCTGTGACCTCAACGGCGTCTGGGCTGTCCCGGATCAGTTTGTAAGGGACCAGCACAGGCCGGTTCAGGCCTAGGGCCTCACCTAGGGGATACAGGGGGTCAGGGTAAGGAGAAGATGTGCCTTGTTAAGGCCAAGCTCTCTGGGAAAGGGCTGGAACAGGGGTCCTCAAACTACGGCCCGCGGGCCACATGCAAATACAAATATTGTATTTGTTCCCGTTTTGTTTTTTTACTTCAAAATAAGATATGTGCAGTGTTCATAGGAATTTGTTCACAGTTTTTTTTAAAACTATAGTCCGGCCCTCCAACGGTCTGAGGGACAGTGAACTGGCCCCCTGTTTAAAAAGTTTGAGGACCTCTGGGTTGGAACCTGGCAGGGCCCAGCGCAGCAGCCATCACACCCCCGAGAGTTTAAAAGTCAACACAAACACACCATTTTAAAAATCCAATTAGCAAAACTACACATCTAACACCCAATGCTGATAATGAAACAGGTACCGTCACACGGGCTAGGTGCAATGATTTGTCAAATGTGCACACCTGGAACTGACGTATGAGGACTTGATAGCTGCTGAGAACCCACTGCTTTTATTCAGAAAAGATTAAGTCCTTAAGTATCAGGGATGAAATGATGTGATGTCTTGGATTCACTTTAAAGTTTTAAAAGTATCAAAGCGAGTTTGCAGAAAAAGAGAAAATAAGACTGGCAAGATGCTGGTAATCACAGAAGCTGTGTTTGGGTTACGGGGTGGGCCGCCATGTCATTCTTTCTGCTTTTGTGTATGTTTGAAAACTGGTTCCAAAATAAAAAGTGAAAAAGACAACAGCACCAACCCCCAGCAGAGTGGCTTCCGATTTGCTCTCAAAATGAAACCCTGACTCACCTCAGGCCTGCCCACTTCCCCGCCGCACCGGGAACCGCGCCCACCTGCGTGCTCTGCTCCCGGCCCTCCGCCCTCCCGCTGGTCCCTCTGCCTGGCAAGCTTTTCCTCCAATGTCTGTCCCCGCTTGACATTAAAGTCTCAGCTAAAACGCCCCCTCTTCGAGAGGCTTTCCTGATCACTCCTAACCCTCCCCCTCATTCTCAGCCACACTTCTGCATTTTCTTCTCTCTCTGAAATTCTTCTTTGTAAAACATTTACTGTATGTCTCCTCTGCTACAAGGCAAAGCGGAGACAGTACAATATTCATCACAAATAAAGTGTAAATGCACGTAGAGCACTTGGTACAGCCTGACACTCCATAATCTAGAAAGTGCTGTATCAATTGTAACTATATTAACGGTCCCACCCTGGGCTCTGCCTTCAGCACAGGGCCTCGCATCTCCTGGCTCTCATCTTCCCATGCCCATCTCCCTCTGGGGCCTGGGCCCCTGATGGCTGGAGCAGACTCCTTCCTCTGGAGTCCTCAGGGCTGAGCACTGGTTGGGCGGACGGGTATGTGCATAAATAAGTCCTTGGCCGTGGGCCATGGCCTCTGCCACACAGCCCAGGCCTGGAGGAGCAGAAATGCTGACTGCTATCGCTGCCCTGCATACCACAGACTGGGTTCTTTCCCCTTCTTGGAGAGAGGCACTGAAGGATCAGTTCCCATCAGTCACGGGCAGAGCAACTATGTCCTCAGGCAGAGCTGGCAGGCCAGCTGGGGGCAACTGGAGGCCAGGCTGGCTGCAGAGGGAGGAGGGGCCCCCCTGGAAGACTGGCCCCACAGATCCTGCCCCAGGGGCCCCGCCCCGGGAAACTGACCGTATTTCTCATTGAAGAGCTCCTTCACCTGCTCCCGAAGGATCACCTTCTCCCCGAGTCTGTTGGCATCATCTTCATCTACAAGAGGAAGACATGCGGGCATGAGGGTTGGCATGGGCTTGGCCACTGCACCTGCTCCCTCTCCCATGTGGCACCCCTGACCCTCACCGGCTGGAGCAGTCTCTCCAGGCCCCACCCACTCCCCTGCAGCCTGCTTCGGCCCCCATCCATCCATCCATCCATCCATCCATCCCACTTTCTCTGAACAGCTCCTCCAGCACAGGCCTCATGTGAAGCACGGAACAGCCTGAGGAGAGGGAGGCAGGGCCCCTCCACTGAGGCACTCACAGCTTAGGGGGGTGGCACACAGTCACAGCGCCCACCCAGAAGACACACCTACAAGGAAACATGGGGCATGCATCGTGCAAGTCCGGAGAGGCTCCCTGGGAGAGCGAGCTGTTTAAGGGGTGTCTCTCCTTCTGTTAGAAGGCTGATGAGGGTGGAGCGGGGTTGGGGAAAGACACCCAGGCACAAGGACTGGCCCATGCATGGCACCCAAGGGTGCAAGGTCACAGCATACTGGATGTGGCTGAAGCACAGGCTGGTGCTAGGGGGAGCGGCTGTGAGGGGTCTAGCAGCGGGTGCCAGTGTGACTGAACTAGACTCACAGGCACTCACCCTGCCTGCCTCACAGTCCACCAGCCCCAGGCCCGTGTCAGGGAGACAGAACGCACCAGGGCAGCTCTTCATGGGGCTTGGACCTTGTGTTCCCCTCACCCCTCTCCTTGGTTTAGAAGAGCAGCTGGGTCAGGGGAGCCCCAGAGATAGGGCCTGGGCTGGGGGATGTCGAGTGTAGGAGAGGCTAGGGGAGTGGACGGCATGAAGAGGGTCCCGGGACAGCAGCCTGCTGGTTTGTGGCCTGAGCTGGGGAGAGAGCTGGAGTTCCAGGAAGGGCACTTTGTACCATCACACAGTAACCACACTGGCTGGGCCTCGGGCCCGGGCTGGGGGCGGAGCTGGACACTGGCAGGGAGCCAGGGCCTGGGAGATAAGAGGCAGGACAGACAGAATGGGTCTGTGGAGAAAAACAACGCCTGCTTTAATCTGGAAAACCTCACAGAACGCAGTGCCATTTAGGCCGACGGGAACGGCGTTTCCCAGGCCCTGTATCTCTCAGCATCTGCTGCCCCTGCCTGCACATCTCTCTCCCCCAGTCTGGGGGCCGCCCCACAGGCCAGGGAGCTTTCCAAACTGCCTGCCGATGCCCCTCCTCCCCGCGCTCCTTCACCTGCTGCCCTTGTCTGGCCCTGCTCATGGCCACCCTCCTGGCTATGGAGTCTAGATCTGTCGGATCTACAAGTTCCTGCCTATCTCTTTTCAGCGATCGGGGTGCCTGAGACACCCAAAACACCAGGCAGCCCAGTTAACCTCCTCCTGTGTCCCCATCTCAGGGAGCGATGGTTCTACCCTGCTGCACCAAGACCCGAAATTCAGCCCCTCCAGAACCCTCCCTCCCACAAGCCCCAACACGGCCCCTCCACATGGTCTCCAGGACCCTAGACGTGGCTACAATGGATTTGGTCCTTCTCCAGGTCCCGGGAAGACAACTGACAGAGTCCTGGGCCCAAGGACCACCGAGAGCCTTCAGGGAAGCGGCAGACTTTCCACTCGTCCCCTTGCAACAGGGATTCCTCTGGTGGGCAGGACTCTGCACAGGCATGACAGCACCGCAAACCGGGGAAGGGACTCTGCACAGGCATGACAGCACCGCAAACCAGGGAAGGGACTCTGCACAGGCATGACAGCACCGCAAACCGGGGAAGGGACTCTGCACAGGCATGACAGCACCGCAAACTGGGGAAGGGACTCTGCACAGGCATGACAGCACCGCAAACCGGGGAAGGGTGCCTGGGTTCACACCACTGTGTGCCAGACGCTTAGCTGACACCTTTCCCAGACACCACCATGGCCACTCCTCACCACAGCCCAGGATACAGAGGTTCAGAGAGGTTACGTAACGTGCCCAACGGCACACAGCTGGTAAGTGCCAGGAATAGTGTCTGACCCCGGAACCCTGCTCTTTCACTCCCCCACAAACCCCGGGTTTCCTCAGGTCTCTGTCTCCCCATCTACACAAAGAAGAGCTGATTTTTAAGGTGTTTCCTCTTAATTTTTTGCTTTATCAGCTCATAGTTCCAGGTCTGTCTCCTCTTGAGCCCAGGGAAAGGCTGGATTTATAGCTGGTTCTCAACAAAGCCTGCTGGACTGAAAGGGAGTGGACAGCAGTCAAAGGTGAGCCCATCAGCTGAGGTTGCTGTGGTTGTCTGACGAGGCCGTCTCTGTGGAGTCTGAGAGTGCCGGTCGCAAGCACCCACCCTGTCTCCCCTGGAGGCTCCTGCTGCCCCGTGGGTGGAGAGAGACCAAGACAAGACAGCCTCCTCACCTTGGGAGAGGCAACGCCAGCCCCCAGAGGGCACAGAACTTGGGAGTCAGAAACCTGAGTCATGTGACGTCAGCTCTCAGCACTTCTGCTCACTGCTCATTCTCTCCTGAACAAATATTTCATGAGCGCGGTCCCACTTGGACGCAGTGCTGTTCCTGGGCACTCAGCAGAGCACAGAGAACAGCCCCCGGCCGAGGCAGGAGAGGGTGAGGAACGGGGGTGCCCGCCGGCTTGAACACCGCTGTGTGAGGACCGAGCCAGGCCCACAACAGTCACCACTGGGTTCTCCCGCCTCAGCATCCAGCCTCAGCTTCTCCCCACCTCTTCGTTTTTATTTAATCTGGAGGAAAGATGGCCCTTTTTTTTCATAAAGGATCAGTTGAATAAATGGGCCAGGTAGGTTCTGGGGGTGGGAGGGCTGAAGGGGAGGGTGCCCCTGCCCCTCTGAGCACTCAGAGGAAACAGGAGGCAGCTCCTCGGGCTGTGGGGGCAAAGGAGTGACCCCCTTTCTGGGAGGAAACCCAAACCAGAGGGGAAGGGGCCCCTCTGTGTTCCTGCCCCAGCCCCAACCTGCCCAGCTCTGTGTTGGGGAGAGGGCAACGTGACCCTCAGAACACACTGGTGTTGGGGCTTGGAGGTGCCAAGGACAGAGCTGGTCTCCCTGACGTGAATCGTGGTCAAAGTTCCTGGCTGATGCAGCTTGGCCTGGCATCTGGTTACCCCTGGGTAAAGAATGGGGGCAGGGGGACAGGAGCTACACGCCATGGTCTAAAGCAGCGGTTTCCAACCCTCCTAATGTTGCAGCCCTTTAATCCAGTTCCTCATGTTGTGGTGACCCCCAACCATAAAATTAGTTTCGTTGCTACTTCATAACTGTAATGTTGCTACTGTTATGAATTGTAATGTAAATATCAGATATGCAGGATGTATTTTCATTGTTACAAATTGAACATAATTAAAGCATAGTGATGAATCACAAAAACAATATGTAATTATATATGTGTTTTCCGATGGTCTTAGGCGACCCCTGTGAAAGGGTCGTTCGACCCCCAAAGGGGTCGCGACCCACAGGTTGAGAACTGCTGGTCTAAAGGCTAGTTATTACTATTCTGAACCCTGAGTCAGCAAACCAATTCTGGGGATTTAGAATAAATCACACCTCCTGTGTGCCTCTGAACCTAGGTTGGCTGTAAAAGACACCAACAGCTTCAACATTGCAGAATGTTCTCCATTTGGAAACATAATTAAGGGGCTCAATGTGGAGTGTGAGTGTGTGAGTGTGTGTGTGTGTGGCCTTAAAGTATCTGCTTGAATGCTATATACAGTGGGGAAGAAGGCATAATGACAGGAAAGGTCCCTGGCTCAGTAGATTACAAAGCAATCTTGATTGTAACCCTAATGCTGTGTGACATTTGGAAAATCACTCAACCTCTCTGGGCCTTCGTTTCCACATCCTGCAAATAGGAATTCTAGCCTGTTGGGAGGATCTAATCATATCACATAAAAAAACTTTAAGGTCTCAAGCCATCAAAATCAAATTGTTGTTGATGGTATTACTAGACCAATGCCTCAATTATTCTGTGGTCTCAGGAAATGAAATTTTACAGGAGACGCTTCCAGATAATGGAAGTTTATTCTCTTAATCCTCTGGGTTTGATTTTCCCATTTTAGGTAGAACAGTTTCTAAAATGTATCCAGTGCCCTTTTCTTATTAAGCACACAGTGGGGGGAGTGAGAGAAGTCACCCTCATGATCTACCCCCTAGTACCTTCCAGAAAGTGCCCCCTTAACCCCCCGCAGCAGTGACCTGTATCCCACTGCCCCTGCCTCATCCTGCGGGCATTTCTCCCGCCTCTTCCTGCTCATTCCAGTTTCCTGGTCTCCTCTCTTTCCCTATTGTCTGCCCCAGAAGCTCTCATCTTGTCCTTTCTAATCCGCTGTCCGTTAGCCGAGGATTAATGAAATTTTGCCTGGGGAAAGAAAGCAACCAAGCTTATTAAATCACAGCCATAGTAGATACACAATTTTGAGCCAATCAGCTTCGGGGTGATGCCTGGGGTGGCCCCACAGCCTTCTCCTGGGGCAGAGTACCAGAGCCGTGAATAGCCTGGACTTTCCCTGCCTGGTGTGAGGCCTGCAGCTGGGATTGATGACCATGCTGATAAGCATGATCATAAACAGAAGCACAGAGGCAGCCCACAGCGAGGGAAGGGCTGCTTAGAGGGAGAGCTTGGTCCAGAAGGTGGAATAAATATTCCTCCTCTCCCCTCTCTCTGCCGGGCCTGGGCGGGTCTGGACCTGCAGAGAACATGGTGGACGTAAGGGCGCTCCCCGCTGGGGGAGCAGCTGCCGGGGCCACAGGTAGGAGAGCAGCCATGTTCCTCCCTCAGGCCTGCAGCTGAAGACACCTCCCTTTCCTGGCACCAGGCCTTTGCCAGGAGAAGGTGCACTTGGGTTCATCTTTTAACTCCTGTTGGGCCTGCACGTAGGGGCAGCAGGAATTCCGTCATCTGTTTTACAGATGGAGAAACTGAGGCTCAGAGAGGGGTGGCTGTGCTGCAGCGGTGGAGGCCCTCGCCCAGGCCTGTGACCTCATGTACCGAGAGAAACGTCTGTACATGCGCAAAAGGAAACA